GTGAGTTAGCTCACGTTTAAAAGGTGCTTTCTTTAGCTTACGAATTTCAGGGGGGATGCCATTCCATATTTTCGCACCAACTCTAGAAAAGGAAAACAACTGATGATTTGTTCTCGCCTGTTTTATATAAAAGCTTCCAGCTACTGAGAAACGAGTAGAGTAGGAATGAACCTGTTCAGAGTGAGTAAAAAGTTCAGAAATATTGGGAGGAGCACAGCGATTTTTGATGTCATGTAACAGAGAGGCAACCAATTTGAAGTAAAGCATTTTTATCGGTAGAATTCCCGAACGACTAAAAAGAGGAGCACTGTGAGATGTATAATCGGAAAAGTACATTAGACGAAGAACCCGCTTCTGTAAAATGACGATTTTCTTTAGATGAGTATTCGCGGCTTGGCCCCAAGCAACGAGACCATAGGAAATATACGGTTCAATGAGCGAGCGGTAAATGTTTATAAGAGTAGTGAGCGGTACCAAGTGTTTTAGCCTTGCAACAATACCGATACCTTTGCTTATTTTCGTGGAAATGTAGTTAATATGATGCTTCCAGGAGAGATTACCGTCAACTCAAAAGTTATCTAGATGTTTTTCATGTTGTTCACTAAGAGTGAAAATAATTGTCTTATGTCTTATCACGCAAGTTAAAACCGCGATGCCGAGAAAGGCAAAACCTGTATTTAACACTGTCAAAACCATCGGAAATGAAAATTGTATTGCACTAGTTGAATTTATGATCAGAGGCTCATTTTTCACATGTTCGATGACTTAAAGACCTTAAAGAGCCCAAGGGAATGATAGGGTCTATTTGAAGAAAGATACAACGGCGATAGGAACAAGACCTTAACGAAACAAAAGACTTAATGAGCGCAACTCGGCACGTTTCTTTTGAAAATTTGTAACTACATTTCTCAGCCTTACCATGAAGAAAAAAAAAAAAACAGTGTGAAATCACCATGTTCTGCATGTATACTATTGGAAAGGAAATTTTGACAGAAATTCATCCACATCACTATTATTTTCTATTTTAACAGAACGTTTTTTTAAGCCGTCATGACATCTTAAATTTCCAATTTTAACTCCTATTACAAGAAATGAATATGCAAAACTTCACTTTTAACTTTGGCACTTGAAGTGGGTGCGTTTTGCGACAAAGAAGCCCCAGTGAAAAAACTACGAAACCTCATAAAATGAACATACAGATAATAAAAATGTATATTTGAAATTTAAGAGTAACAAATCAACTGTGAAATTAGACCTTCAATTTCCATGTCGCAGTAAACCAAAGCTGTCTTTCCAGATGCACTTAAATCCAACCAGTATCTCTTGCTGATGACGTCTTACCTTCGCTCGATTTTATTTCCCGACACGACTCTGCAGGCAGTTCTGGAATGGATCCCAGAGGAGCTGTTGCATAAAGTAGATAAAAGAAGCACAAGAATTAGCCGTTTATTCTCTCGCTGAACAGAACCTCGATTGCACACAATTCAGACTCGGCCACCGGGGATAGCTATGGTTGTAAAGTATCTAATGTATACCTCTGCCAAAAAAACGTACGTGATAAAACCGAGCAGGGTCTGAGTGGAAGTTCTTAGGTCTTGCCTCTCTGGTTCGGTTATTCAGTTCACAAGACTTTTCCCCGATTACGTAATTGTAACTCTGGCACCTGAATTCTCTTTCACAGCTGATGTCACACTCGTGGATGGCAGTTACTGAGATCTTCTTGAAGACAAATCCGTGTAGAGCCATTCCGCTCATGCTTCTTTCTCGTCTGCATTGTTTATCAGCNTTTGTGTTCTTAAACTCATTCATAAACACTATTCTGTAAAAGAAAAATATTCATAATCTTCAGAAATATGCTTGAAAATGGAGTTGGGTTCTATTCCTTGCTTTGGTATACTGGTTAGCAAGTACATTTGTTTTGCATGAACACATTGTGGAAAAGGCAGCCATGCTTAATATTGGGCAGAACATCCTGGCCTCATAAATCACACTCCCCATCTTACAAAATTGAAAAAATTGTTTTAAAGGTGAAAAACTATTAAACTGAGGAAGGGTTGCCAATTTAACAATTTTTGAAAATGAAAGCGATATTTGCAGTAATGAACACAATTTAAACAGTAGTGAAAATAAGGCCTGAAAATTAAAAAATTCAGGCCTGTACAGGATTTGAACCCATGCCCTCTGCAATACTGGTGCAGTGCGCTATTGACTGAGCTAACAAGCCAACTGGCAGCTGGTCATTCTGTTGGTTTGTAATGAACCCATGAAGTGGTGAATCAATGATTGTGAATATATATGAAAATCATATATGTGAACTGTGGTTTAAGAAAAGAATATGAAAACTGCACTTCACATATTTATATAAATTTTATATATATTCACAGTCACTAACAATTATTGATGAAAGAGTTTTCCTCTACAAGAGGAGAAAATTTTCACTTACAGACTGTCTAAAATAGGTGTTGATGTTGGACCTCTTTCCTTTAATAAAGGCAACTGCCTCAGTAGGTTGAAAAATGGTGGACACCCCACCAGAGCTTGAAGAGTCCGATCACAGTTAAGGACAAAATAACATTTGCTGTTCTCAATACAAATGAGATTCAATCTGGAGTTAAAAAGACATTGCAGAGGCACTCAAGAAAGAAATGAATTCTGTCTTTCATCTAATTAATTTGTGGGACCTCTTCAACCTTTAAGCCCCTAAGGGTGATAAGTAGCTTATTTCACCTTACAGCTATACTCTGCCGAATCACTCATTAAAACTATGAGAACAAAAGAAATGATTGTTAAACAAATTCTCTCTATCAGTGCCAAAGAAAATGTACAGCACGAAGAATATGGCTACTCATTAGAAGGTGTAAAGGGTTCAACTGAACATTTCCTGGTGTAACTGAAAAGATACAGCATTAATGTAACACCAGTTCCCTCGGTTGATCAGTCCTCTTGGGATGTAAGGTTTTTGGATGTATCCTAATTCTTGTCTTTGAATACTCTCTGTAAAATATTAATTAAAGAAAAATCACAAAGGAATGTTTAAACTCAGTCTACAAGGTAAGCATTACTTTTCTCAGTTATGATGACCTTTCAGTTCACTTACTGTCTGTAGTAACAATAAACCCATAAAATGAAAATGTGCATCAGAACTCAAGTCTCCTCTAGCCATTGCACCTCTGGAAAAATTTTTTTCCTTCTTCGTCCTGATGCATAAGTTAAACTTAGTTATGTTCTACACCTCAAGATGAATTTCTTCACATTCTTTTTGTTTTATGAGATACACAATCTCATTGCAGCCAACTTTACGTACTGTTAACATTCAGCTGACAATTTTCATACACATGCACACACACACACACACACACACACACACACACACATGCACACAAACAGTGCAACACTTACAGTCCATACTTGGTTTCCCCTTGAGGAAAACACTGGAAAGTCAGGACAACCACATCAAGTTCAAGACTGTTTACTTGGAAAGTGACTGACTGCAAAGAAGACAGACAGAAAGACAAACAAAGACAAACAGATAGACATACGGATAGATGGAAAGACTCAGTCTGACAGATAGACAGACAGACTGACAGAGAGACAGAAAAACAGACTGATGGACAGACAGACAAACAGAAAAATAGACTGACAGACACACTGACCGACAAACAGAAAAAACAGACAGGCAAAAAAAACAGACAGGCTGACAGAATCTTTTGTAGTATTTACCTGCAAATTTCTTAGCAAACTTGTCCTACTCCACACTAACTGGGGTTTGTAATGTATCATCTTCTGTCATTTTAAGATTTGAAATTGTTTGCATTTCAGTTCTCGCAACAGGACTTGTTGTTTTAACTACAATACCAGACGATGGTTTTGCAGAGTTTTTGAACAAGTCTCCCCATGATGAAGGCTTTGGAGGCTGATCTTTTTTGCAAGTGATTTCTTCTGCTGTACTGCTTGTTTGTACACTCTGATCCACTGGGATGGGACGTTCATGTTCTTGTTCTGGGACTTTACAAGTCTGAGTAGAACTTAGGGTATGTTTAATTGTGTAGTGCTAATGGAAACTGTAACTTTCATGTCTGTGTCGCTGTGAACAGGGCTGTTTGATGTGCCATCTGTTGATAAAGAACTCTTCCTTTCTTCAACAGTGTCCCCATCACAAGAACTTGTGCTTTCTCTCTGTACAGCTGTTCTTTTGTCTGTGGTAGAAACGGCACCTGATTTTTGCTCCTTTAATGCTGAGTTCAAAACATTCACATGTACCTTTGAAGTTTCTTTCACGACATCACTGACAGCAACTTTATCTGCAGTAGGTAAAGATGCAACAGCTTTTCCTTTTGAACCAGAGCCAGTGGAATTAACTGAAGCCCTTTCTTTTTCACTACATTCACTAGAAGAGCTGGACACAGATCCAGACCTCTTTCTTTGCCTCCTTCTCTTGTGACGCTTGAGAGATCTTTCATTTTCCGTCTTCTCCAGAGCTCTCTGGGTGTTCACTGTTAATGACAGGGGAGGGAAGTTGTCAACATCAGGTGCTGAAGTTCTTCGGGGACTGCAAAATAAAACAATACTTCTTCAGTAAACAATACATGTATTTGTGAATGTTCTCAACTTAAAAGTTTCCCTGAATCCAGACATCAATTACTTAACAATTAATCCCCATGCACATGTTTGTATAAAGAATGGGACATACTCAAAATAAATAAATAAAAAAAAACTATAAGTAGCAGTCAACATAAACAAGGCAGTTTTCTAAGCCCTCTGTTCTCAGAAAAATCCAGAATTTACAGTGTTGGTTCTTGCCAAGAGATGAAAACAAAAGAAGAACCGTCAGTGTCAGAGGGAGAAGTAAAAAAACCTTCAACTCACTTCTGAAGCTAAGGTAGCCAGGCAAGCAAATCAAACACCTCTTGTTACTTGCTGAGCACAGCACTCTCTACTTAATATGAGAAAAATTTCACTGAATACATGCCATGCCAATTCAATAAAATAGGACAAAAATAAATCCTAAATTCCTTAGCTGCTTTGTTGAAGTTTAAGCGGTAAAACGTTGGCTCATTTTTGATATTTTATTGCCCAAGTTGATAACGAAAATTGACCATCATAAAGGTTTAACAGCTGATATTTCGAGCATCAGAAGACACAAATCAAAACTGAATATTTTTTATGCCACATAGAATTTGAAGCCACTCCTTTACCTTTCAGTTTTACTTTCTGTCACATCTTGTTCAGGCTCTTTGTTGCTGTTTCCACAAAACACAAAGTGTTCAGAGCTACTTTGGACGGTTTTATCTGATGATCATGTGACTTGTTTCTGCTTTGCTCCTGGTAAACGAGCTACTGTGTCACCTGCACCAGCTGTTGTTCTCACCAATTTTCCTGGAGAAGTTTCCTATTCACTTTCTTGTCCCACTTCAACACCTGAGTCTTCAAAACCTGCTGTGACATTCTTAGCTGCCGCAGAACTGTCACTTGATGAGACCTGTGTTGAGGTGTCACCAGCTGCCAGACAGGAAAACAAATGATGTTACTTTAAGATATGGATATGGCAGTGATATCAACCCATTTAACTCCCTAAATCTCATTTTTAATTCTCCTTAATGTCTGCTGTACACTTCTTCTTATGATATTAGTTTGGAGAATTTGGAATGGGATCTGCTAAGAATACCCTACGTTATATTTTTCCTTTTCTCATCACTTGTCTGCTGAATTCATATTGTAAAGAGAAATTATGTCTTGATCACTTATGGAAGGAAAACATGACGGGAGGTTCTGAACATAGCAATACCGCAAAAAGAAAAATCAGCAAATTCAGCATTAACACAAAAAAAACTTGCCAAATATCACAATATTTCAATACCAATTTGAAACTCGATGTCATGCATGGAATATTCAAACAATATTCAAACAATTAAGCTGGTCAGAAGTACATGACTCAATCACTTGTAAGTTCCCCCATAGACTCAAAACAAGTAGATGATGTTATAACAGATCTAACACCATATTCTTACAATTAATTTATAAGGAGATGAGTGGCAGCTAGAGGGGAGAATTAACAAGCAGATTGGTAAGACCAAATAAAACGAGAATTTTAACATTACGACGTAAATACAACAATGTTACAATTCTAGTGTTCTCGCGCAAGCAGTCTTAGGTATAGCGTTACAACAGTTGCGATGGCGAGCGGCCGCTCCACAGATCTTTGTCATTAAAGAATTAAGCCTATTGTACAAAAAAAAGTATTACACTGTGAAGCACAATGAAAAAGGGAAATAATAAATAGATCTGAAGAAGTAACAGTTTAATGGATGTGGATGCATCAAAATGCAATTTGTAAACAAAAAAGTTTAAGTGCAAAATGGATATCATCACATAACCAATTTCATTGCCAAATGAAGAAGACCGTTGCCTCTTCATACACAATACAGGCATGTGGAGGAAGGTATTTGACCCAACCTTGTGTGAATGCTAATTCCTAGTAACCAAGAAGTTCTCAGAAGAATGATAATCAAATGTAATTCTTTAACAGTCTGTATATCTCTACCTTTCA